GTCCGCGGTAGGCGTGAGGGGTTGCATTTGAATCCCAAACACATTGCCAAAAACAACAACAACAGCGTGTTGTCGGTCTTGTTCGTGCTGTTTTTGGCAGTGCACCCGGCTGCCGGCGCGCGGCACCCAGACGGCCTTTGACGGGATCCTGACGGTGATGGAGTCCACGCTCCACGGGGGGCCCAGGGCCCGGGCCGGCCTGGCCCAGCAGACCGATTCCGAGAGTCGTTTTCGTCGCTCTGTCTCTGTCGCGCTCACGGGGCGTGTCGTGTGGGTGCGAGAGAGACGGAGCGACGAGAAGGTCTCTGGGCCGGCTCGTCCGGCGGCAGTGGCGGCGTCGACCCCCGCCTCGCGCCGCTAATAGACTAATCCGTGCTCGGATACATTCTTAGTGAGCGCTCTGAATGGGCCGCCGCGTTTGCCTGCCCAAGTCTTTTGTCCCGTTTTCGCCCATCCCGGCAACCCAGGCACAGGAGGCTCTGCTCGCCGAGTCTCGCAGACGAGGATGAGAGTGGAGCTCCCGGATTTTCCGACCGGCGGTGTTTCCGGACCGCCGGCCTCCGGCTGCATCCGCCCGCCGAGCTGCACGGCCGGCCTCCGAGGGTCGCTTTCGTCGCTCTGTCTCTCTCGCACTCACGGGTCGTCCCGTGTTGGTGCGAGAGAGACAGAGCGACGAGAACGACTCTCGGAACCGGCCGGCTGTCGACCACCGCCGGGCTCCGCCACGAACTTATTCCGAGGGTCGTTGTATCGGCGCTCTGTCTCTCTCGCGCCTGCGGATGCCCCATGAGTGCGAGAGAGACAGCGACGGGAACGACTCTCGGAATCGACCGCTGGGCATCGCCGCAAAAGTGAACAGCGTCACATAAACCGACCAACATAGAGCTGCACTCTGCCACCAGAAAGGAATTTTTAAAAACATTTAATGTTAAAATTGTTTTTTTGCCCCCAAAAAGCTGTTTGCCACTCACTAGTTTCGACCAACCTCATGCGACAGTGGCGCTATCCACAGTACGGAGTGGGCACCACTAATGAAGTGGTAGTTGCGAGCCACTCATCAGTTGGTTCATCTCACCTAATTGTAATGAACGTGGAACTCTCTCTGTCTCTCTCCTGTCTGTTCATTTGCCCGCCTTTCTATCTATCCTGTCTGTCTGTCTGTCTGCCTGTCTGCCTGTCTATCTGTCTCTGTGTCTCCTTCCCTTTGAGCGAGCTGCTATACCACTCCACACAGATGACAACATGCATAACAAGGGATGATCCTGCTTGCTGGCCTCAGACAGCATTCTCCCTCGCGTTCAGTGCCACCACGGCTGCTGTTGGTCGTCCTTGCAAAATATCGCTTATGGGACCGTGATTGGTGTATGGAGTGCCACCCGTCCTAAACGAGACTTTTAAGCGAAGTTTCCACAGGTTTCTTTGGTTTATACTCCGAGGGCAAGGAACGGAGCGAACCACTATCAACGGATGTCCAACAAGGCAGTTACCGACACCTGGAACCAGTCCGCACTATCGGCACGGCGATGGAGACCATCTTCCAGGTCTAGGAACGCGCGCCCCACCCACCACCGCCGCACAGTGGGCCAGAAGACCGGTGGAGGCGGCCAAAACTCTAGACGCGTTTTGAGCTCCAGAGTCGCTAAATGAAAGTCGAACCGAGCGTGATTGGCGACAAAGCTCTAATCTTACCTGACTCAAATTTTAGCTTCATGTGGACCGCTAATTATTCAGCTCAACCTTGTTTTAATTTCTTGCTTGTTTATCCCCGACAATTGACCTGTCCCGAAAGCAGTGGGCTAAGCAAACGTGTCGCTTCGTACTTCCCGCACATTCATTGTACAAAATTTAAACACGTTTCACATTCAGGTGGCAAAAACGCCTGTAAGCAGGCAGCTAGTGGTAAATAGGCCCGAAACCTCGCACATTCTAACACATTCTCACAACCATTGTACACAAAATTTTACAGCGGGTCGCCCCTCGGGTTCCCTAGTCGTTTCGTTCGAACGAAATGACAGGCCCCACGCTTCACAAATTTTCCCCGGACTCAAGGACACACCGCGAGCGATAAGCGAGCGCGTAGAGTTTTAAGCAGGAAGCTCCGTTCTGCTCCTTGCTTTGGGGACCCCTATTTCCACCTTTCCCTCCAAGTCTTATCTTGCCTTTTTTTTCGGGTGGAGTGCGGAAAGAAAGGTTAGGAGAACGCGGACATATGATTTGTTTCCTCAACGAGAGATTTTTAAGTTGACCTGCAACTGTAAGTCACTTTGTGACCAGAACCGAAACGATCGAATGCAACACTTGACCGCAAATGCCAATTTTTTGTTTTTTTTTTTGCCAGCTGTTGTTTTGGAAGACAAGGGTCCCTCTAAGACTGTTCCGGACCGTGGGTTTCCAGTACTACAGCTTTTGTACTGGTCACGAACCCAAGCCGAGTCGAGGAACAAAAACTGCAACATAGACAACTAAGCTTATCTTTTAAACAAATGTTAACATTTTTGAAAAACCAAAAATGTTTCAATTTCAGCTTTTTTTCGTCCTGCTCCCCACTGCGCCTTGCCTTTGATTCGTCCTCGTGGATCCAAAACGAATTATCCGAATCCATCATTGCGCCTCGGTCTGGGGCCCACGCAGTGACAGCGGACCACGAAAGCAAGCCCGGTAGCTGCGCTAGCTGCGCTAGCTGCGCTAGCTGTGCTAGCTGCGGGACTGAGAGGTCGTTTTCGTCGCTCTGTCCCTCTCGCACCTGTACGCTCGGCCCCATGAGTGCGAGAGAGACCGAGCGACGAAAACGACTCTCGGAACCAGCCCGCGCAGCGCGCTGTCCCCACAGGAAGGAGACATTTCTCACCTGTCATACAGTGGTGCGCTGCGCGGTCGCCCCGGCCGACAAATGGTGTCGCCGCCAGCAGACTCGTCGCTCTGTCTCTCTCGCACCCATACGGGACGCCCCATGAGTGCGAGAGAGACCGCCAGGCCGTCGGCCACTACACTGGAGGCCGTGGCCGTGGCCGCCGTCGCGGTGGTCCACCGTTTTCGATCGCTCGTTACCACTGTCACTGCTCTGTAAACGGGGCGCTAAGCTGTGGACACAACAGCCGCCCGATTCCGATCGTCGCTCCGTCCCTGTCGCACTCGCAGGGCGTCCCGTGTGGGTGCGAGAGAGACAGAGCGACCGACGGTATCAGGCAGCAGTATGTCACAATGATTTTTCAGTCCTTTGGCATACCTATCGGCTAGGTTTGACAGTATTTTCATCAAAAATGCATCTGAGGAATATAGTTTTCCAAAACTGCGACTTGAGTTATTTTATGAAAAGCTCTGTTTTGTGTAGTGGTGTGTGCTCTGGGCAGAGCCTTAGGGTGCACTGTGAAGTGCACGCCAAGTACGACCCAGAGGCCGGCCCATTTTGGGGTGATAATTAGTTGTCTCAAACTGGGCGCTGCACTGCGCCGGACTCGCAACCACCCCGTCGCTGTGCTGCTGCGCCGCTGGCTGGGAATGGTCCGCTGGCACTTGCACTGCCCTCAACGAGCCCTCTGGAGAAAAGTCTCCGACTTATCCAGCAGCAGCAGACCGATTCGCTTTCGTCACTCTGTCTCTCTCGCACCTATCGGGGCCGCCCCATGAGTGCGAGAGAGACAGGGCGACGAAAGCGACCCTCAGGCTGCAGTGCGACAAACACAATCATCGTCGGTTGCAGTGGCCGTAACCACAGGTTGGCGCCGCGTTCGCGCGCCGCAAGGGCCGCATCTGTCTCTCTCGCACTCAGGGGGCGTGCCGCAGGGGTGCGAGAGACAGAGCTCCGAGAGAGACATTTCAGAATCGCTGTGGTTCAGAGTGATACGATTTCGGTAAAGTGGGGCAGAGCGCGCTATCTTCGAGATCAAGACGGTCGTTAAGTTCTAATGTGGACTCCGTGCTCGCGTTCCGCTTGATCCGCCCCTTGCAGTGGCGAGCACTGAGTAGTGACTTGTTCAAATCAAACTGCCGGCGACACCCGAAGTTTGCGCTTCTAAGCTAATTTATTTGGAACAAAGTGAATTTTATCTGACACATGTCGAGTAAATTTACTTGAGGTACTTCAAATAAATATCCTTGATGCATTTGAAGTAAATATACTTGATGCACTCCAAGTAAATATACTTGAAAAATTTCAAGCTCATTTTTTACGCAGTCTAAAGCAAATGTTTTTGGTTTGAAGAGGCCTGTTTTTGGGCGCACTATACTGCCAGCAAAGCGAAAACGCAGCAATCCGCGCTGCACGCACTGCGGCGTATTTTGGAGTATGAGAATTTGGCACGAACGCTCAGCACAGCCTCGGCTCGACCGTTTCGCCACTGCAGTCACGACGGTCCACGCCGCCGCCTCCACAGAGTCGTTTGCGTCGCTCTGTCTCTCTCGCACTCTTGGGGCAGCCCGTCTTGGTGCGAGAGAGACGGGGCGACGAAAACGACTTTCAGTGTGCAGCTGCAGGTGGCGGCGGCCTGCAGGTTGCAGGTGCCGCCGCTGCCGTGCTTGCAATACAGCCCCAGGCGACGTTGCTGCACGGACTTCTCTGAGCTGCCTCTGGCTGTTTCCAACTTGTTTCTTTTTCCTTCAAAATCCAAAGCGTTTTTGTTTTAGAACATTTATTTAGCTCTTTATATATCTGTCAGTGCCGCTGGTGCAAAGTTTTCATGTCCGTTCTGTTCTTTTCTTTTCGAGGTTTTCCTTAGCAGTGTACCCCGGTGAACTTGCCCCCCTGTTAGGCCCCTCCGCGCGCAAGCGCCACGCTTGGCCGGCCAGAGTCTTTTCCGGACCCAGTGGCTCCATCGGCCTCTCTACTTATTCTGCTCTGTGGGCGTGTTCGCCGAGTATCGGAAACCGTTTTTTGCTCCTTTTTTGCCTCCGAGGTGAAAACAGCTGTGTTCCTCTCTGCACCGGCGTGGATCGCTCCAACGTCTCAAGAAACAGTCTGCGGGGAGGTAGTCAGGGAGAATGACAGAATGAGCCAGTTCATGTAGTTTTGGTTCTATTTATATTATAATATAAATCAAGTTTGTTCTAGCAAAACGCAAGGTAAATGCGTCGGACGGAAATCGCTATGACAATTATTACCTAATATACATATACTTTACATATACAATATATTACATGGAGCCGGGAGTATGGCTTTTTCTTGCTTGTGATTTCCGTCCAAGAGATTTAAATTGCATTCCACTAAGTTTAACATACTAAAATAACAAATCCACAACAATAATTTGACTTTCACAAATATACACTTATTACTTTTTGTTGCTTTCTTTGGAATCCTGCACAAATTTCTTTAATATATTATCTAAGGTCGCACAGATTTTTAGCTCCTCGTCTTCGCAAAAAAGCCAATCAAAACACTTGGTGTTTTGTCACATTACAGTTTGTACCTGTGTTGCGCTCAACAGTAAAAAATTTTGAAACACACTTTCAATTAAAGTTTAATAGGTATTTTTTATAACATTCAGACTTAAAAACAAATAAAAATTCCTAACAATATTTACAAATACGTACGACACCATAGGTCCTTAAACTGTCTGCAGTATCAAGAACGGTAACATTTTGTAAATAAATGCCATTAAAATCCCTATTAGTTGTCCACACATCTCACAAAAACAACAACAACAACCACGGGACTCGATCACAAGACGAGTGACCAGCGAGTGTCGGCGATCTTTGACAAAAAAGCGTAATCACTTGATTGGATTCAGTAAGTACTTGTCAATCCATGCAAACATGAAGGGGGCAACGAAGACGCGGCATTTACAAACATCAGACTAAAAATCAGTATCAAAAAAGGGGGACTGCAAGACGAAAGTGAACTTGGTTGCCTGGGGGCCGAAGGAGGCCCACGCGATCGGATCGAATTAGTTCGAGATTTGATCATTGAGCGCTGGGATTAGATTCTCACCGAGCCGAGGTGAGATGTCGCTTTCCGCTCCCAGCCCGTTAAGTAGTACTTCGCCTTCTACCACACAATTTTTCCTTCATTTCGTTTTTCGTTTTGTTCCATTCAGTCACGTGCAATGTTTTTCGTTCTTCAAGGTTGGCCGTCCCGAGCCGGAAGGGGCCGCAGCCTCCACAGTGCGGTCGCTCTGCAGTGCAGCCAACTATCGCCGCCACTCGCTGGCAGTCGTCGCAAAGCCCCAGGGTCGGCGTTATGGCCAAACTCTGCAACACAACAAAGAAACGCCATGAAGCAAAACAACACTAAGAAAATTTTCAAAACTGTGCTGAAATTTTTCTGCACTGTGTTTTTTTTTCTCGAGTATATTTTCATGACCCAGGAGTCATATTTGTTCAATTTACAAAACAAAACTGGAAGTTCTGTTCATAGTATTTTACTTCTAGAAGTTAGTGTTTATTTATTTATTTTTTTAAGAAAATGACAGAGTTTGAAATTTACAGTAACAAACAAGAAAAGTGAACTTACGTGAGCATCCCTGGGTTGGGCTCCGCCTGGTACCACGAGTACGGCGTCACGTAGCCCGGGTGGGGCGGATGGTGGGGCGGGTGGTGGCTCTGGGGGTGGTGGGGCATGGGGGGCTTGACGTCCCAGCTGCCCACCCCGACCATGGGGCTGCCCATGGGGCCGACGGGCGGGCTCTGCGACAGGCCGTGGGGGCCGGGCGACATGTCGCTGACTGGCGTCGAGCTCGGGGTGGGCGTCTGGTGGGGCATGTAGTTGCCCGAGGGGCTGGGCTGCGAGCCGGACGAGGATCCGCCGCCTGCAACACAACACGCCGCACTGTCAGCAAACGGGATCCAGGAGAAAGAAACAACAAGATGCCCCGAAGGACCTACGCAGCCTGTAGCCTCCCAAGCCGATGTCAGAATTTCTGCAGCCCGAACTTGCTAAACCAAAACGCCCCAAGAGGCCAAAGAGCCTTTTACCGCAATACTATGGCCCTTTACTCATGATTTTCGAAAATTTTAGTGGCCACTCGATATTAATTTCAAGGCCAAGTCAAGTTCATATCATCTTAATATGATTAACGTAAAAATGCATAGGAGTTATCATGAGATCGTCACCAGTGACTTGAATTCAACTGCACCTAAGGGTCACCCATGAGTTTGTCAAGGAGTGACAACAACCATGGAATCTGCAATCCGTTCAGTTTAAACAGTTCCAAAAAGCTAACCAAGTTTGAAATCCCTTAGGGCCTTATTTCGCCTCATTTTCGCAAGGCAACGGTGACTCGTGGACTCAATTATCGCACTCGCTCCCTTGAGAGTAACAAGGTGTGGATCGCACAAAGCCCTTATTTTGGCACGCGCGTCACGCGGCCAGCTGACTGATTCCGAGAGTCGTTTTCGTCGCTCTGTCTCCCTCGCACTCGTGGGGCGTCCAGTGTCTGTGCGAGAGAGACAGAGCGACGAAAACGACTCTCGAAATCAGTCTGTAGCGCGGCCCACAATGGCGAGTGCCAATTCGCGCGCCACAAAGGCGACGTGCCGATTGTCAAACTTTTTTCTTCCTTCCTCTATCCCTCTCTATCCGCACGGCGGCTCTATCCGCGAGCACGTGGACGGGTTTCTATCAACGGCATAGATAAGAAAGGACGGGAGCGGCGACGAAGCGACGCGGCCGTTGGAAAGCACCTGCCGCATTGTCCCGCGGCTAGGAAGTGCCAATGAGGGAATCAATAAAGCCGAGAAGAAGAAGGAGAAGAAGAAGAAGAAGAAGAAGAAGAAGAAGAAGAAGAAGAAGAAGAAGAAGAAGAAGAAGCAAGAGGAGGGGGAGGAGATGCAGAAGAAGATGAAGATGACTTAAGAGGGAAAACACAGAAGAAGGTGAAAAAGAAGAATAAAGAGAAGTGAAAGAAGGTGAAAGAGGAGTAGAACATGAACATGGAGAAGAAAGGAACAAATCGGCAAACATTCGAAGCGGGGCACTTTTGAAACAGCCTCAGAAGACTTAGACTTATGAAACCAGTTCAAAACTCGTGTTAAAAGTAAGAAAATAAAAAATGGCTGGTCAACTTACTGGACTCACCTCCCATGTGGGGGGGTTGAGGACTATGCGGCAGTGCGTTGTGCGGTCCGCCCTGCAGCCCGCTGCCGCTGCCGCCACTGCTGTTGTTGTTGTTGTTGTGGGGGCCGCCCGCCTGCTGGGCCGCCTTCATCATCTTCTTGTATTTGCTCCGTCGATTTTGGAACCAAATCTTGACCTGCAACACACAGGGGAAAGGCCCTCGGTTAGAGAGACGGACTTGACGTCACATTATTGTTGTCTCTTTGTCATAGATGGCTTTGTCTTCTCTTGAAAACGATGACATCAAAACTTGATAAAATCATCAAAGCTTCTATACTAATTGCACATGTGCGTGACAACTAAGCCATCAACAGGTTTTTATGACACACTTAGATGCGAAGTTCGAAAATTGGCCTTGAAATGGTCAAGTGACAACGCAGATTTTCCCAGTGTACCAGGGGGCGTGGCGCCGCAGCGGCCTACGCGAGTCCCACTGCACTGCGAGTCTGCCACTCTGTCGGGAAAACGCCTCGGTGGGACGTGGCTTACTCCGAGGGAGGGAAGAAATGAGAAGAAAAATGGAGTCCAAGTCGGAACAGTGTACGGCCGCGGGGCAACGCAATACAAGGAACCTTGGGACGCGCACGCCGCTGTGGTTGTGTGGATTTCGTGATGGACCCACAGAGATTACCCACACACACACACACACACACACGGAACGCACGTACAAGCTACAAGACGTGTCTAGGATCACCTGTCGAAACGCTCAGTTTTTCGGCAACTTTTGCCACGATGCCCACAACACGCTCCCCCCTTTCACAGTGTAGGCCCAGACGCCCGACCGCTGCACTGCGATATAGCAAGTGAAAAAAAAACAACAATAAAATTTAAATATTACGTCTTTTTTTCGTCAAAATCACTCGTCGCGACGAGGAACATCGAAAAAAGGGGGCAAAAGCGCGCGTTTCTGCGACATTTTTTTTTGTGTTCGTTTTGCCCACGAGACGCCCGGCGCGAGTCGGGCCGGGCATAGAAATGACAAGCATTACCGCGTCATTTTATTTGTTCCCTTTTTCGTTACCTGGAACAAGAACGTTCGACGCCGCGCCGCGCCACCAGGGCCCCGGGGCGCACAGAGTTGTACCAGAAAGTGCCCCTCCCCTCCCCCTCCCCTCCAGCCGTCCAGGCTTCCTTCCAGACGACGCAGCCGACGCGGCCCGTCCCGCCGCGGGCGCAACACACTGGACACACCTCCTCCGCTATCCTTGGACCCTTCAGCCCGCTTCAGCCCCTCCCCTTCTCGTCCCTCTTCTTTTCCTTCTTCTTCTTCTCCTTCTCTCTTTCCTCTTCCTTCTTTTCCTTCTCCTTTTCCTCCTTCTTTTCCACCTCATTCTTCTTTTTATCTCATTTCTTCTTCTTCTTCTTCTTCTTCTTCTTCTTCTTCTTCTTCTTCTTCTTCTTCTTCTTCTTCTTCTTCTTCTTCTCCTCTCCTTGTCGAGGAGCAAGTGGTACGCATGTGCCAAGTAGTGCTTCATCGCGAACATTGTAGGCGCCGAGAGGGGTTCTCTCGCTCATATACTCTCTCAGGCTCTACCGCGCTACCGGACTTGGAGATCGCCGGCAGCCCCCATTCCGAGAGAGTCATCGCGCCCATGGGGCGTGAGAGAGAGAGAGAGAGAGAGAGAGAGAGAGAGAGAGAGAGAGAGAGAGAGGAGAGAGAGAGAGACGACGCGGCCGATCGTCGGTGATAGGGAGCGGAGTCCTTGCCGGAGTCCAGAACGCGCACCAGTGCCCCTGTGCGTTGGGTTCCGGACAGGATGCGATCTGGAGGGGGTGGGGGTGGATCAAAGAGGGACGAAAGGATCGAAGAGGGAACGGTCGAAAGGAGACAGGGAGACTTAAATCGCAAAAACTTCTGCGATCTCAAATTCCGAGAGCGCGCGTCGGTTGGGTGGAGCGTCCACCACACCCTCCTGCTCGGAATAAAAGGAAACGTTCAAGTGTATACGGGGGTCTTTGTGGCGTAGCGCCCCCGTCGGACCCTGCGGACCCCACACAAAGCATTGAAGGATGGCAGGTGGCGATGAGGAGTGGCGAGGCGCATTTCGCATCTGGAGAGTCAAATGAGGAGGGGAAGGGGTGAAAGGACGGACGGACGGAAGACAGGCAGACAGACCGAGGGACAGGGAGCGGCGCCTCGGCCTGAGAGCGCCGCTCTGCGGTCGTCCTTTCTTTCTGTCCCTTTTTCCCCGATGTTCCACAGTGTTCCACGCCGGCGACGCGGTATGCGTGACGTTGGCCGCACTGCAGGGGGAATGTCGCGATGAGGGGACGACGGCGACGACGCACAGTGGGCCAGAAGACCGGTGGAAGGGTCATAAGTCTAGCCGCGTTTTGAGGTCCAGAGTCGCTAAATGGGACTCGAAGCGCAGGTGTGACCCCACCAATGGACTGCTCTCCGAACGAGGAATCCATTGGTGGGGTCACACGTTCGGTTCCGAGTCCCATTTAGCGACTCTGGACCTCAAAACGCGGCTAGATTTCTGGCCCTCTGTACCCCGGGGTTGGCAGCACTGGCGGCGCCGCCCCGGTCCGCGTTGGCACCACTGTAGGTAGGTCCACCGCGCGGCGGTCGCGCCTGTTACACTGTTACATCGCGGTCTTCTTTCTTTCTCTCTTTTTCCCTCCCTTTTTCTTTTTTCCCGCCTTTCCCGATTCGGTGGCCGATCCGCCACGGCTGCCGACTAGAGCCCGAATCGGATTGGTCGACCGCCGTGGTGTCCGGAGGGGGGAAGGGGGGGGGGCTGTGAAATCGCGGCGAGGGGCAGCGTAGCGCGGCGGCGTGGCGGCGTCAATGGTACCAACCGGCAAAAACAAACCCCGGAGGCGGTTTCGGTTTTGTTGCTGCATCCTGAGGGGAAAATGGCGGGAAATTTTGAGGACAGCGCGCTCTGAACACCAATAAGGGTTGTGTACTGAGCACTTTGGCGCCAAGGGTCGGTTGTGCGTCGGAAAACCAAACACCCAATCCGGGCTGCAGTTTTCAAAATTTTCCGGGTGATGCGTTCCGCGAGATACCACTTTGACGCAAACAAGTGTGCAGTGATTTCGAACGGCGCTTTTTCGTCGCTCCGTCTCTCTCGCACCCAGGTGGAACGGCCCACGAGTGCGAGAGAGACGGAGCGATGTTGAGACTGTCGCCAACGAATCCGTTTCACAAAGCAATGTACTTGTCTTGTTCGGACAAACAGGCATTCCCCTCGGCATTCCCCGTGCCCTACACTGCAAGTTACGGTGCAGCAGGCTGCTCTCGTCGCTCCGTCTCTCTCGCACCCTTGGGGCGTGCCGTGAGGGTGCGAGAGAGACAGGCAGTGCTGCAGGGACAAATAGCTGCCGCGCGCCGCCGCCCGCATGCGAGCGCGACCCTCGCGTCGGCAGACTCATTCCGGGGGCCGCGCCGTCTCTCTCGCACCCCTGCAGGGCATGCGCCGCGGTCCGTGGGTGCGAGAGAGACGGGGCGACGAAAGGGCGCCGTTTGGAAGCAGCCCGCTGCTCCCTTTCCCGGCTTTACTCTCTTGTCGCCGACCTCTTGTATTGATGCTGCTGTGCTTGTTACTTTACAAGGGATCGAGCACTCACACGCACACACACGCAGCGCAGACGCACACAGACGCGTTCTTACAAAGCTGAAGTAGCCACAATTCTAAACGGCTCGTCGATTACTCGAAACACGAGCTCCTCCGTTCGCGAAAAGCTCCGCGGAGGGCGCGCTTCAGCCCGGCCGCTCTAGGCTGGACTCCGTCCGACTCCGTCGCTCTGTCTCTCTCGCACCCGGTCGGGCCGGCCCACGAGTGCCAGAGAGAGAGACTGCGTCCGGCGATGACAATTTGCCCCAAATGAGTAGAATGGCACTCGGGATTCCGCGCGGGGCTCTTATTAATTGATATGGGACAGCTTTCGAAGGGCATCCTAATGGTTATGGGCGGAGGCCGCCAAGGCCGGCGGAGCGAGCGAGATAGATGAATTAGTTGACTAATTGGTCGCATCAATGAGCACAGAGGAATCTGAGAATCTGAGCGGCGCGACTCGGTGACTTCGTATTGTCCCATGCACTGTGTCATTCCCCCTTCGAGGGCTCTCTCTCTCTCTCTCTCTCTCTCTCTCTCCCACATGCACACTCGCAGCGTGTTGACAAGGGAAGGTGCTCAGTTTACACCCACAAATCATTCCAATTAAGGGACGGGGGCGTTGGTCGGTCGGTTCTCGCGGCACGAGGCGAATCTCAGTTTAACCCTTTAGCTTCTGGGAATCGTTGCGTCGCTCTGTCTCTCTCGCACTCCGCCCTTCGAGAGCTGCACAGACAGGACACTTCGGCCCGCTGAATCGACTCGGCTTTCAAAGTCCGCGCTATGGGGCGCGCGCGAATGTGAAACACTTTGACCGCCTCCGAGCGGTATAAGTGTTGTTGCGGTCGGTCGGCGTAAAGCAACATCGGTGAACATGCCCGCGGGTAATGGAACACACTCTAACTCCTTTTGGGTCCAGATCGACCGGGGCGATACGGGAACGTACCCGCCCCCGTCGGGCTGTACCAGTGCACCGCACGCGCGCCCCGATCGGCCCCCAGAGAGCCAGACACCCCGACCCTCAGTGGGCCAGAAGACCGGTGGAGGCGGTCAAAGTCCCGGACGCGTTTTGAGCTCTAGAGTCGCTAAATAGGACTCGGACCGGACGTGTGACCCCCAACGGATTCCTCATTCGGAGAGCAATCCATCGGTGGGGTCACACGTTCGGTTCGAGTCCTGTTTAGCGACTCTAGAGCTCAAAAACGCGTCCGGGATTTTGACCGCCTCCACCGGTCTTCTGGCCCACTGTCCGACCCCGGGCTGAGTTTCAGAAGCTTTCAGGGGGCGTTCGGAAGAGACAAAACTGTTGAGGGAAAAAATGCTATTGACCGGGCGGGTAGCCGACTGCCAGTCACTGCGCCTGAAAAAGTGTGAGTGACTACCGGAGTGAATGCAGAGCCTTGTATTGGTCGCACTCCACTGGCGGGACCCCGTAGGGCCTCGGAGGGGGCAGTGACTTGCAGTGCAGGTCCCCGATACAGCTTTTCCCGGACTACATTTCCCCTTCCCTTCAACAAGTTTTTTTCCACCGTTTTTTTTTTCGTCTCGTCTACACCCGAAGTGCCTTCCG